CCCCAACATTTCACCGACCAGTCCTAGACCTATTTACTGTCTTTGGAAAGTTGGGTGTGAAAACGCTGTCAATCACTCTCTTTCTTCGGTGTGAGGGGCAGTCTCACCAAATACTGTCCAGGCTTGTCCTATGCAAGCTGTGCAGATTTCCCTTTGTTCAGCTTTACCTGTCTGTGTGCAGTGGCGGTGGGTAGTGAAGGGCTTTACAGGCTTGAGCCCCTCACCCCCACCCCAACTCTATCCCTTAGTTAATGAAAGTTTCTTAAATAACGAAATAAGCAGTTGAAACCGCTATGATCGCATGCAATGAACACTCAGTTATCAGCTTGGCGGCTTGCCCGTTTATCCTATCATTGTTGTCACCGCTTACAACTATAGTAACCTAACAGCCAATCAAATGTCGTTAGGGCTCAGGAAGAATAAGCCGGTTCCCATGCCCGTCTTTAATGAAACTCTTCTTGTAAAAAGGTAGAAAAGTTTTAAAAAATAACACTGCACAGAGGTCTCACGCTCTCCCAGCACTAACAATGGGGTGAAAGTTTACGACACACTTTCCCCCAGTGACACAGATACCTAGGCGCGAATTGGGCCTTTGTTAGGCGCGTTCTATTTTCCGCAACAACACGACCCAATCCACCTCATAGACGGTATGTGTTTGGAGTGCTGTGTGTTTGTGCCGCTGAGATTTAACAGTTATTAATTACATCAAACCACTTTTGAGGCATCCTTTTCTTCAGATAAAAACTGATTAGAGAAATTTGGAGGTGAAACGGCTTCGTCCCCACCAACCAGAAGAGCTTAAAAATTTAACTAAGAACAAAGAGATGGAAGACAAAGGTGACTCTTCTCGTTTGAATGGTTCTCAAAATGCCGTGACTCGCCGTGAGTATATAAGAATCATCACTGTTTTGTTCTTTGCTTGCTATTTGGTGGTAAAAAAGTGGAAGAACTCTAAACCCCACCCAAATCCTGGTCCACCCACCGCCATTGTCTGTGTGTTTCGTGGATCGGAGCGTGTGTTGAGAGGGAACCATACGTTTGTACGTCTAAATTTTATGTAGTAAAAAACCCGTCAGATGACGAAAGCGTGCGTTTGAGCAGACCGTGCTTTTAGGCTGAGACTGGAAAAACAATATTTTTCTCACAGGGTGAGAATAAAATGGATTATTCTCACCCGGTTGAGAATAACATTATATTTTTATTTTCACCGTGGGTGAGAATAACAACAGCCATTTCAAATAGCATGGGAGCTAAGTGGCGTTTCAAATAGTGCCAGCCATTTTTATTCTCACGCAGGGTGATTAATTTATAAATCCTCTCTATTCCCTCAGTCAAAACCATCAGAAGATCTAGATCTAGATTTCTAGAATCTAGATCTAGATTAGATCTAGAATCTATATTCTAGATCTAGATCTAGATTAAAAGTAAAACCCATCAAACAAACAAAAATTATAATAGTATGAGCCTTAATCTGAATCTAGACTAATCTAATATTTTATAAAATATCCAGATCTAGGCCTTCCTTTTATCATCAGCATAGAGGCTGAATGCACCTGAAGTTATTTTTACAATGACATTCATATTCACAAAGAAACGCCACAGTCACAGTCACTGGATGATGAAATTTGGCACAGTTCCATGTCATTCTTCCTTTCTCAAGTGCATACTTAGACACCATTACAATTGGTGTCACTGCTGCTCATGAAAACAATGAACGCGTGAAGCCAAAAAAACATTGGCAGATCATTATATCAGCCTTGACTTTATCAATCAAATCTGATTTCTTTTTATATCGGAAGACTTCTTCTCATAATTGCCATAATTTTACTTTATTTTTGTTACAAGAACAACAAAAAACAATTGCTGCGCTTCGTCGACTGAGCAGATGGCAAACCTGAATGAATAGAGAGGGGTTGAGACTGAGAAGGACTGCTGCACACGAAATAATCGAAGTGGTGATCCAGAACATCTTGAATCGAAGACTTTTTACGTCGATCTGTGAGTTTGTTCGAGTTCATTGTTGATTCAAACAATATTACCAGACGACACCAGCACAAATGACTTACATATTTACTTCATTCTTGATAAAAGGTCACGCAAACAGCGTGTTAGATTGCATCTGAACAGTCCTGGCTCAGCACAAGAGAACACTGATTCGTAAACAACACTTTGGTCCCCATTTCTTCGTTGCCTTCTTATTTCGTCGTTTCGTTCTCTTTTGTATTTAATATTAATATTATTAATACGCGATAGTATAGATGTATTGTTTGTATATAAGCGAAAAGGACATTGAGACTCACTTGTGTACTCTTTATTATTATTATTATTATTATT